GACGTGTCCGGACTATTTATTCGTATGATGTGCACAACTTCTTTTTTTTGCGCAACACACCAGTGACAATAAAATATTGCATATGCACGGCAGAGTGCTGATATTACCGTTTTTGATTGCCGCTCATATTTTGCACTGATTCAGTGCAATTTTACATATATAGTGCCAATGTACACTCACATATACCTACTATACTGTATATGCGAATGTTCTGTATTTAATTTGAATAACTTTTTTATTTACATTTTTTTACTTTTCACAGAAAGTTTTACGTGAATTGAAAATGAAAAAGCCGCAACTCAATGAATTGGTTCACACGGCTGAGGTGCTTAAGGGCGACGTAAAGCGGCAACAGTTGCAGGAGAAAGGTAAGTATGTACTTGAAAAGAGGAAGTAAAACTGAAAATGTTGAGTTATTACAAAAAAAATAAAAATAAGGGCATTCAGTGAAACTTTTTATTGCGCGAAACACTCGCTACCACTATTGAGACCAATACATTGGCGATTTTAAATAGCTGGGCTGTGGTAAAAGCGCTCAACAAATTAAATGCCTTTTAATAGAAAGTGGTTGCGAGTTTTAATTTTTTGTATTATACATAAGTACTCTCTTAATCCAAAATATATTTAGTTTTGTTAGCTCTTTCGTTTGCGGAGGTTTGAAGCGCTCAGAACAGACAAATTACAACTTTAAAACCGATAACAAAGCGCTCAAATAATTTTTAGCAACAAATACACTTTTATTAGCAATCTTCTATACTCGCAGGCAGCTGTTGTCGATACGATAGCGAATGTCTGGGAGTGGTGTCCTTGAGGGATATATTATTTGAGAGAGATCAAGCTCTAACGAATTAGTAAAGTCTATCCAGGAGAAAGTATAACAATTGGTAGAGTTAGTCAATCTTAACAAGGTTAGATCATTGAAAAAGCACCCCTTGATCGAGCAAATCTCAACTCATTCGGTTATGTAAAACTGGCTTTTGTCGGAATTTCAGTTCAGTTTGGTCAGCGGGGACTAGTAGAACACGATGGACGGAAGCTACAGATCTGTCATATCGTGTTTCGGACTACAATGACTTGTCTTTCGATACCTCTTGAACACGATCTTCATAGCAAAGCTTTAATACTTCCCATCGAGGCATATAATTATTCTCAACAAGTAATATCTGCCTGGCTGCAACCCCAGAGAACTCCCGAATGGAAACTTTCTGGTAGCAGCGCCACTCCAAGGCACAGATCTTACGTTTATATATATATAGGCTAGAAGTAAACGATATTCATCGAGAGGTAATTACCACCTTTACTAACTCTCAATCTCTGCATGCCGCCATTGACGTTCAACTAGCACTCATCGTAAACGAAGTGTTGCAATTACGGTATAGATCCTGTAGCAGTTTAAACTCTTATTTATTCAGACTCCACCTCGTGATATCCAATTTATATTCGGCTTGAGAAGTCATCCTTAGGGTACNATTCCGAGCTGAGTGAAGCTTTCGAATTGCTGTAGCAATATGAAAGTGTTCATACAATAAGCTTGTTCATAAGCGTTTTGGGGATGAAAGCAAAGCAGCTTTTGATTTTGAATTTTCTATTTAATTTTTCAGCTTCATGACGCTACTGCAAACAAAATAGCAAAATATTCAAATAAAAACGAATTTTACAACTAATATTTTGAATAAAATTGAGCTAATATTTTTGCCGCTTTTCATTGACGGTAAGTTTTGCGGTAGCTTTGCAGCCGAGTCCATGAGAAAAGCTCTGCTTCGCTTCGTTCAGTGTGAACACCAGCAGCTTCGCTTTGTTCCGCCGTACTTCGCTCAGCGCCGCTCGACTTTCTGTGTGAACGCGCCTTTTTTGACATAATCCCAACCAGCCTGCCCGACAAAAGCGCTGAACGCTACGTCCAACCTGATCCCTATCGATCTTCAGCTGAGAGTCAATTCTGTAAAAAACTAAATACATAGGTGGTAACCTACTCTTAAAATATTTTCTTCAGCAAAGTTTCCTCAACCTTTTTAGTTTGATACCCGTATTGTAATATTTAATTTATTTTATGAATTTAAAAATTGAATACAATTTTTAAAACAGTTGGTAACACTGCTCAAAAATATTTTTTCGGCAGTGAACTTTCCCAAAACCTCTTCAGTTTGATACCCTTATTGCAATATTTTATTTATCTTATCAACTAAATCAAAATAAAAGTTTCCAACAGGTGGTAACCTTCTACAAAAATAATTTTGGCTGTAAGTCTTAAACCAATGTTTTTGGCAACCATATTGCAACAATTACTTTGTCTTATCAATATGCTTAAACCGCAATTTTCAAACAGGTGGCAAGTCTGCAATTTTCTTTCTTCTATATTTTAAGTTATACCTCTAGCAATACATCGGTGAAAACTGCATTCAAGTACATGCGTTAGTTTTCGAGTGGCTTTCAAAGTGCCTACAGACTTCTACCTTGGCTTAAATTAAAGGTCTTGAATAGCACTAAGCCGCACTTGTTGTTCGAGGGATACAAAATTGTGTGAAGGATGCATAGCTGCATGCAAATCATAAAAAATGCAATACATAATGCATTTTCCAAATTGAGGGGTTAACATTTTTTTTCGTTTTTTAAAAAGCGGAATCGTATTTCTCGTCTCAGAATCTATAACATTAGTATAATACAAAATTCAACAATTTTTTTGGAATAAATCCGGTGGATTTTGCATGTTTTTTTCGAAGAACAGAATTTTTGACCATTTTTTTAAGGTCAAGGAGTAATTGCGGCTCAATGGCAATATTTTTTCGTGAAAGGCAATTACATCAGCTTTCAAAACCATTTTGTTTATATAAAAATGTTGCTTCTGTCGAAAGCGCGTGGAGTGTTCAAAAAGCACACTGTGCGCCGTCGACACCTCTTGCTTGTTTGAAGATTTCACTTAAACATTTCTAAAAGCTGGCCTTATTGTTGAAATTTTTTTTACGCTTGTGCAGACCAAAAAACTAAATAATTGCTAAAAACATAGGTAACTTCCTCGACTTAAGCGATATTTCATTGTAAACGCACACTGATTCCACGGAATGCAACAATGAAGAAATAGAGTGTTTATTAGCAAACAATGTATTACATTTTACAGCTTTAAATAAAATTTCGACAACAATAGCGAAGCACAAGACACTTACCGAATATGCGCCCTAAAATATACAACAATAGCAATCATGAAACATCATTATCGTCATTTATTTAATTGCATACACTAAAGAGCTACATACATATATATGTACAAAATTTGCCAACAGCTTTTTCAAGCGTAGAAAATTATTGCAGCTTTAAAATAATTACCCCTGAGGCTAGCATTGAGCATAGTTGGTGTTGTTGCTGGTTGTGGCGGACAGCAGGAGCGAGTGGAGTAAGCCGGGCAACCGTACATATTAACAGAAGTTACCAAGCAAACGGAAGGACCAACGAAGCAACAGACAGACATACCACACACACGCACACACAAAACCAGCAACCACATTCATGGCGTAGGGGTTTGGGTGGACAATGTTCACCTTTGACTTTGTTTGCGGTTCGCAAAACTGCTGCAACAACAAATATATACAAATAGCAAGCAGAAAATAAAGCATAGCGGATAGCAGCCATTAAACAAGCAGTAACAACGACAAAGTACGGAAGTATGGAACAATGTTGCATGAACTTTTTGAATCCTGAACACATACAAACAAACAAATACACGCACAAGCATGTTGCGACCGAAGGCATTGCCATGGATGGAAGAAAGCTTATTGTTAGGAACAACAAAGCCAACATTGCATATGATATGTGGCAAGAACAGTTAGACAGTAGCAACAACAGCAATAACAGTAAAAAATATTATAAGCAGAAGCGACCAAAGTTCAAAAACACAAGTTTGACACTTGAAAACGTACACAAATAAAAGCAACAACAAAGAGACATCAGACGTCGACATGCATAGCACTGGTGGCGGTGGTGGTGGTGATTGAGACCATGGTGGTGAGGTACTGCGCTTAGTGTGTGAGAAGCGGAGCGATGGGAATCGCACACGCAGTAGGATAAACAAAATAGAAGTAAAAAACAATGTACATAAGAATATCGGAAGATAAAAAGTAACAACAGCAAACAGAGTGATTTGCTTAGAAGAAGAATACGCAGTAGAAGAAAGAAAAGTAGAGAAATTATGGTGAAAACTCACCACACAATTATGGAGAGAGGAGCGCACAAAACGGAAGGGGGTGGCGTACGTGATAAGGGGTTATGTGGGAGAGCGCTCAGCTACACAAAAGAGCTGCAACTAAATGCAAATGAGCGCACTGAGCTTAAGTGAGAAAGATAAAAGCATGAGCAGAGAAACATACATTTTTTGGTATTTAAAAACAACGCATGCGCTTAACTGGGTGAAAAGTGAGCAATCAAATCAATTAATTTACGTAGACAAGGTGAAATTTACACAAACAAAGTATAGGTATGTATGTTAAAGGCGGTGTGGGTAATGATGTTAAAGCAGATATTTGCGAGCGGGAGGGGATGGATTGTTCACCTTCTTAGATATTGGGGCGAGATATGGGGTTAATGGGAAAATGTTGTCTATTTGTGTACATTAATAAAGTAAACCTCTTTTTGCAAATCGCAGTGCGCACTACCATTGCGCAGGGCCTGGTATCGAGCCCAGTTTCCAATTAACATCGAAAATAAAAAAAGTGTTTCTTTCTAATAGTGGTCGCCATTCGGCTGCCATGAAAAACAGCTCCCCATAGAAATTCAGTCGCCGTTTGGAGTCGGCGTAAAACTCTAGGTCCTTCTATGGCAACATGAAAGCGCACGCCACAAATCGGAGGAAAAGCTCGGCCAAACGCTAAAATATTGTATAAGCGCCAATCTATTATTATTAGCGGCATTGAAATGCAAATTTTATTTGCTAGGAAAAAATATGAAAAAATTTGAAAAAAAATGCAATAAATGAAGGAAAATAAAAAATGCGTTACCGGACTTNTAAATTTTATTGCATTCAATTGAAATGGATCACGAAACCGTTTTCATGGGATTTTAGATTTAGATAAGTGGCTGCTCTTGTTGTCGTGATATATCCTAATTATTATCTTTCATATTTTAAGAAAATATCGGCGAACCTTTCAATTCGTTGTTAGTTCCCGGAGAGCAACTCCTTGCTCCGAAACATTCTGCTTAGGGCTGGAACATATTCCAACCGTGGTCCAGAAACTTACTTCAACTGTATATATCAGCGAAGAATACATTCCAACTCCACTTCAACGCGATGCAATATATGTAACGCATGGAATCACCTCAAGACCTGTGCTGGCCTTAGGACACACAGGGAGTTGACCACATGGTAGATACATGACTATCT